TTGTGACTGTTGGTGACAATGACTCAACCAAAACCTTTCGTATTCAAAGTCATAGTCGTAGCCGAATGAAATAGGCTTCAATTAGCGGCTGATGAAGTTCAAGCCTTCAAATAGTCGTATTTTTCTTTCCTATTTTAAGAATATTCTTACTAATGCTTTTGGGTGAGATTTATCTTTTCAGTTATACAATGAACATCTTTTTTTAGTGTGGTTGGTTTGTCATTGTAGCTAACACAATAGTATACGAATTTACTAATGTATTGATTTCACAAATTATTTTTTTTAGTCCCTCTTTCAATTAAAAATATACTCGCTTGTTAAAGTTATCTAATAATTTCATGGGGGTATAGTGAATGGATAATATTCCAAGATTCTTAACATGGTATCAGAGTTTGAGTGACTATAAGATCACAAATTCGATCTTCACCGCTCCCCATTTTAAAGTGAAATTAAAATAGAAAGCACAAAAGGTAAATCAAAAGTTGGGCCTGTGCATTATCCACACTTCAAGCTCAAAGGGCGCCCGTGTGAGGGAGCGTGTTGAGATATATAGTCCCACATTGATTGTGTGGCAACTAATGTGGCCTTTATAAGGCCTTGGACATTCCCACCCTTTGAGCTAGCTTTTGGGATGGTGTATCCCAAGATTCTTTACAGATAAAGTATTTTTTCGATTACTGGAGATAACTCAGTAAACCTTAAAATTATATCTTTTTGAATTAATGAAGAGTGTTTTCTTAATTTTGTATTTTTTATCCAATGAATTTTATCAAAATACCATTCATTAATTTCCCTAAAATAACAAAAATATCCTTCATTGATTCAAAATAACGTAATTTTGGGGGTCACTTGAGATAATTTATCTTCAGTAATTGGAGAAATACTTTATCCATAGTTATTTATGTTTTTCTTAATTTAATAAAAGGGTTAATGTTTATCATGTTATAAGAGGTAAATTTATCTCCTATAATATGATAAACACAAAACTCACTATGTGGTAGAGGTGGCAAAACGGGTCGGCCCGACCCAATCTGCCGCCAACCAGCCAAAAACGGGTTCGCCGACCACGCTTTTTGAATGTGGGTTAAAAAACCAACCCGCCCTATTTAATGGGGGTTGGTGGGTCAACCCGTCCAAAAAATAAAAAATAAAAAAAATTATATTTTATGAATATTACAATATTACTTATTTTCATTTTATACCCCCATTAGTTTTTCTCTAATCTCAAGCTTAAATATATGTTAATATTTAGTCAGATATTATTTATGAACTTATTTTTTCTTCCATATAAGGATAACTTTTGTCATAAATAAATAAAAAATTCATTATTTTTCTAGAAAAGTACTAGGATAAAAAAAAATTGATATCACAAAAATTTAGTACAAATAAAATATTATTTAATAATAAAATAAAAAAAGACCTGATGGGCCAATCCATTTTGACCTCTAACCCGACGAGGCAAATTAATAGGTTGAAATAAATAACTCAACATGTATCATTTTCGTCAATTGTGAATTGATTCATCAAGTTCAATCCATATTTACATATCCACTACGTGGAATGAATTTTTCTTATTGCAATTCTCTTACACTAGCATAGAAAATCCTGCCCCTTTTTTATTCGTGGGCCCCGTATTTTTTTTATTCGTGCGGCAGGTGATAAATTTTATCATGTGTCCGTAGAATCTTATCATCCAATAACTATTTTTCTTTGTTTAAAATATTGACCGGATTAAATTATAATAAATGCAGACAAGTTCTAGATTTATTTATCTTTTTAAGAATTCTTTATCTTGAAGTGGTTTAATGCATAGCATATGTGAATAGTACAAACTTTTAGCTAAATGAAGAGATCTAACCGCTTTAGTCTAATTGCCATTTGAAGAATTCTCCATATACACATTTAGGGATGTACAAAATAAAAAATAAAATAAATCAAACTGTGAATTGAAGTGAACTGCAATTAAAATAATCAGTTTTTAAAAATTAGTTCATGAATCGAACCATTTTCGAATCAAATCAAATTTATTTTTATTACTTTATTTCTTTAACTTTTTAATTTTTTTTTTCAGAATAGGGTCGACTCAAACTGTTTCTGAACCGAACCAAACTGTTTCCAACCGAACCGAACCGAACCATTTTAACCGAACTGAATCAGATTTGAACCGAACTGAACCCATTTAAACCAATTCGGTTTGATTTTTTCAAAAATTCAGTTCAATTCGACCCATGCACATCCCTAACCAAATATCTAATAAATGCTTATTGAAAGAGTTACTGATACGAGGATGTGTAGGAAAATTTGTCCTAATGATGGTTGAAGTGCAAACCAACTTGAATCCAGTGTTTTAAAATTTGGCCCGATCATCGACTCAGTGGAAATATTGGATCAATGGATCAAGCGGTGGGTCAACGGTTCAACTGCATAAATTAAATTTATAAAATAGCATATAATAAATATTAAATTATAAACTTATGTCCAACAAATAAAAATGGTCCAGTTGTAGGACTAAAAAAATCGGTATTGGTTCAACACCAGATGAACTTGATTTTGGTCTGATTTACCGATTTAATATTGGTTCGAGTACATAACCAATCTTATGGTGTCAGGCGGGTTCAAGAGGAGCCCGTGGCGGGGGATTTCCATCAATGGGCTAAGCTAGCCCATTGACACCAAGTGGGTCTGACACCATATTTCAACCCAAAATCTTAAGGCATTGAGTTAATGGGTCCTCCCATTTATATCCACTTCGCTTAGCCTATTATCAATCAATGTGAGTCTCATCACACATGAATAACCCAATAATAAAATCAAGTGGGTCTGACACCATGTCTCAACCAAAAACCTTAAGACATTAGGATCATGGGTCATTTCACTTAAATGCATTTTACTTAACCCATTACCAACCAATGTGAGACTTATCATACTTAAATGACCCAACATATGGCCAACTCGAACCAGTGTTTTATGGCAACTTAAATCAGTGAGAACACCTAGTTACCGAAACTCAGGTCAACCCAATCAATCCGATCCGAATTTTATAACATTGCTTGAAAGTTGAAACCTATGACATTGTCATATGAGAATATTTCCTTATTTCAAATGTCTTCAATTTTCTACATGCTAAGTTTACACGGATATATTAAGATTGCTACAATAAATTTGATTTACTTGAATCTAATTATATTGTCTCCTAAACATCTCTTAATTATGAGAAAAATAATAATTTTTTTGTTTTTTTATGAAACAAAATAAGTATAATTTTGTAAATAGTTTTATAGGATATGACTTTTTAAAAATGAATATTTTCAAGAGTAAAGTCCCTTTTAGGTCTTTAACAAAAAACATAGTCTCCACTTTTATCCCTTACAAAAAAAAAAGTCAACGTTTGGTCCCTCTACAATTCTAATTCTTTGAAAATGTGATCCCTCAGAAATTCAATGAAGACCCAATTTAATCCCTAAAAAGGACTAATATATGTATTTTTTTATAAGGGACAAAAGCGGGGATCACATTTTTTGTTAGGGACCCAAAACGAACTTTACTCTATTTTCAAAGAGTGCAATTAAGTGTATATATATTTTTGATTTGATTTAAAATATTTTATAATTTTAGTTTACTAAATTTTTTTGGGGTTTAGTTTTCTTATGTGACAGTGGGTAAGTTAATTTTCCTACACACTCAGATATCAGTGGGTCCCATTATTTAAAAAAAAAAATCTAATTTTCAATGTCTCAGCAGGAAATACTATTCACTCTGCTGTGACAGAAGAATAGTATTTCCGAATTTTTTTAAATAAATTCATTTTTACTTACTCACTTTAAAATTTTTAAAAAGTGATTTTCTTGCATTCACACTTGACTAATTGCACCAATCAATACCATCATTTTATTCATTTATTTATGAGAAATTATTTTCTCATGTTATAGAAAAATTATTTTCTTCTTTTACGAAAATGAAATCCTTTGTTTATTTAGGTTCCATTTTTTGTTTCACGCTTTACACACTAGACTTGAACCTCAAATTGTGTTATCTGCACGTTCTTACCTCATTTTAAAATACATTTGAATTAAGTGAATAAAAAAGTCACACATGAATCACGCTACATGAAGGCTTCTGTCTAAGAAAGTAATAAATAAAACTTGACTAAACCCAGAAGATTTCTTAAAATAATACCATTTTTGCTTCTCTACCAAAAAAAATTACTATTTTTATTTGATCTCATTTTTTTAATAATTTATTTGATGTCATTTCATAAGTTTATGTACACAAACTAGCAATAGTCTGATATATATAGGATTGATCTAGTGGTGACAAATTTAAATAAGTTGTATTAAATTATATGTTCAATTTTTATTTATATAAAAAAATAGTATTAATAACATTACTAAATTAATAAACGAGCTCCACTAATTGTTAAACTAGTATAAGCTAAAAGTTTTAATGAAGAACGTGAATCAGGTAACCGAAAAATATTACTAGGACAAAACCTTGATGTTACAAGGATGATGGCAGTGATAATGACCAAATGAATATTAAATGTAGCATTCTCACTCACATAAATCATTAAAATGGTGATTAAATAAGAGAAATAATGAAGAGTACGTTGTAATGTGACCACACAATAAGATAGTATATAAATTATAATTGAAGCATTAAGCAAGCCAGAGAAGGCAAGCCAAGCCAACAAAGATGGCTCAAATCCAAAAACTGTGTGCAGAGTTTATCTCAAAGCTAAAGAAAAAACAATATATATATATATATATATATATATATATATATAAAAGTTTGATGTTTCTGATCTTTTAATTATACACGTATAAAAGTACATGAAATTCAATCATGTAAGAAGAAAAGAAAAAATAATAATATGAATTCAACATATTTTATGTACGTATAAAAGATAAACTTTATCTCCTATATTATTTCCTATAAACGTCCCCTGAGATAATAAAAAAGGAAAATAGGTAATATTCACAAAGCACAGGTGGAAGAGCATTCTATGTTAAGTTGTTGACAGGATCAATAATTTCTGGATATAAAGCCAGCAATTGGGGAGTTCAGCATGACCACCAACACTAGCATGATATGAACACTACAATAAGTTAAAGCCAATAGATACATGCATATCAGAAAGGCACACACTCCCAAAAACACAATCCTCTATTACCTAATTCACCTATCCATAAGGGCTTTTAGTCCAAGCAAGTCAGTGTGAATCCCCACAAGATGTTAGACAATATGGAATATACTTTTTCAGCAGAAGCTGCAGAGGCAGAAGCTTACACCACTAGCAGCACAACTCCACCAGGTGCCATAAGAAAGAAGAAAAACAAAAACACAAGAAGGTTCAGTGATGAACAAATCAAATCATTGGAAACTATGTTTGAGACAGAATCAAGGCTTGAACCTAGAAAGAAGTTGCAGGTTGCTAGAGAGCTTGGATTGCAGCCACGACAGGTTGCTATATGGTTTCAGAACAAGAGAGCTAGATGGAAGTCAAAGCAACTTGAGAGAGACTATAGCATTCTTCAAGCCAATTATAACAATTTGGCTTCAAGATTTGAAGCACTGAAGAAGGAGAAGCAAACATTACGAACACAGGTACTCCTACAATACAATTTTTTTCTTTCTTTCTTTCTTTAGAATGAACTAGTATACAATTCTGTCCATTTTATTTTACTAGATGATTATTGTAATTTTGATTTTCAACAGTTGCAGAAGCTGAATGATCTACTACAGAAGCCACTAGAGCAAATTCAAAGTTCTACACAAGTTAAAGTAGCAAACAGCATGGACAGTGAATCAGAAGCCACCATCAATTGTAGTGAACCTGAGGTAAAGCCAAGCCCATCAATGGAAAGATCAGAACATGTACTTGATGTTCCCTCTGATGATGACTCCAGCATAAAGGTAGAATACTTTGGCTTGGAAGATGAACCTGGTCTTCTGAATTTTGTTGAGCATGCTGATGGTTCCTTGACATCTTCAGAAGATTGGGGTACTTTTGATTCCAATGATCTGTTAGGCCAGTCAACCAGTGATTATCAATGGTGGGACTTCTGGTCCTGAATGAAACAGAACACCCAAAATTGTGTTTGAGGATTTGAGGAAATGTATGCATATATGATGTTACAGCCATTCTCTTGTTCAAGAAGTTGGCAGGGTAAAATCAAGGGCCATGGGAAAGTGGACATTTTTCTGTACATCAATCAGTTTGTAGGAAATTGAGTTTACTTGTTCTTGTCCAGAATCTGCAAAATGGAGTTCAATCTCTTGACTTCAGGTGATAACCAAAGTTCTTGTTGCTGTTGCATTGAGCTCAATTGAGAAAAAAAAAATGCAGAGTTGCATAACCAAAAGGAGAGGACTCCTATAGAATTAAGGACACCAAGGAAGCTTGAAATCTTATGTTTTTTGCAAACTGGTGTGCACAAGAGAGATCAAGAAAAGCACAATCTGTAGTTGGCAATCAATCAATGTTTGAAACCAAAACCCAACTTATGTAATTAGTTTTTAATAAATTGCTTTTTCAATGCAGTTAATGCTTCCATTGGATATATGAATGTTTCACACTGCATATAAATCAGGAAAGTTCCATATTTTCATCCACAAGGAAAATATATCAATAAACATAACAAAATTGACTTTCGGAAACATCATGAAGCACATACATCAAACATGCGTATTATGCCTGACTATGCAATACCACCAATTCCATAAATTTATGTGGAAAACCAATTCACACTCCAAAAGGGAAAGAGTACTAAAGTTGTTCATGTGTGATCTATAAGTCATGAGTTGGAGTATAAGAAACAACTTTTTTTACAAAAACTCGAGAGTAAAACTACATACAATCAATTCTCACCTAAAGCCTCACATAATTGGGAAGCGTTATGCACTGAGCTTTGTCCTTAGTTTGCCCTTTGAAGAGAAAAAACTGTCAAATCTGAAAAATATGATATTATCAACTTGTTAGTTCACACTTCACAGAGATAGATTCAGTTGAGTTACAATGGACAAATTTATTGAAAAAAGATCAAGAGCTAAACATTTTTATGTACTTATAATTTATGAAGCTGTATGCTTAGTTTTCTACTGACAATTGAAACATTAAAGTAGGATCACGCTTTAAAAATTAACAGCTATTATGGTGTGCCAGCTGCCAAGCCAAGATGTGCCCCACCCCACATTATTATGGTGTGGACACAGGCTATTGAATAACATAGGAATTAATGAAACGCAGCTACCACAAACAAGGGCTTACATTGCCTCTCTTTTGGGATTTTGGAGTAATGAATTTCTCACATTGCTAAAACCTGCCTTACAAAAATTGTTCGCCAATTTGGAGCCAAATTGCTATTACAAAATTTAAATAATATGCAAAACAAGATCTAGACAATTCCACTAAATGCAGATATACATTTCATTAAGCCTGTAAAATAGCAGAAAGTTCTTAAATGCTAATCACTTGAGCTTCTCAATGTCACAGTAAGTTGGAGTTATAACCTAGCAAATAAAGGCTACTGAAGAATGAAAATGATCATATCAAACTATGACAGCATTTGCCTTTGATCTTCTGCTTATATTCCATGACTTTTGGACATCCTCTTCTCACCTTCAGAGCATAAACCTTGCAAGAATTGTCACAATGTCATGCCCAAGTACTTTGGTGAATTTTGGTCAAATATTTATGTGCAATTGCAATATAAAACTCAGCATAAAAATCTTTCCCCGTTAAATCCCGATTAATAAGGGTAACATTTACAAAAATGACTGACTTTTCGATTCGAACATGTGAACTTTCGATCACAAAAGAACACTATGAGTACTGCTTGAGGCTCGCCCTCTTAATATGACACTTATGACACTGACCACCATATATTAATGATGGAACCAGAAAAATAACATTGAATTTGCTTGTAAATTGATGAAAAACATAAATGGAGACAAACGCTTTACAAATACTAATGGTAGAAAATAAACTCAACAGATTTCAACTCTCCCTCAAAACCAACATACCTAAGCTTCAAGAGAACCCAAGAGATCCCCTTTTCCACTAAACCAACACTCAATTCTGTTGGATATGACTCATACTTCATATGTGGCTGGAAAAAATCTAATATATTATTAATGTATGTGCGACATACCAATAAAAGCGTGTCTCCTCAACAGCTAATGTATTAGAAAGGAAAGAGAAAATGATTTTTTTGTTTTATATTATATATTATCAATAATACATTGTATAAAATCTAAAAATTACACTCAATTCCATGCGACGGATGTACTAAAGTTGGGCTCCTGTGGCTGCTGTCGTTTTGATCAAGACCAGCTAGGTGTCCAGGTGTCTTCCAGTGCCGTTTCCACCTAGCAAAGTTGGATGGCTACTGTCGTTTTTTTATGTCATAATGGTCAACAAACTCCAACGTTACTTTTTGCGACATCTCTTCTTTTCTTTTTCTCTAATACTAGATATAAATAAATTTAGGGTTCATTTAATCTTATGTTGAAGGAGAGATTTTCTCTCATATTGTGACACATATGTGATGGAGTTTGTCATTTAAAGAAAAAAAAAAATGAATATCATGATTTTTGATGAGTGTGTAGGAGATAAAACTACTCTTATACAACATAAGAATAATTTTTTCCATAAATTTAATAGAAGTGATGTCATGTCGCATCGCACCCGATTAATAAATTTAATCACAACTGCACATGTTATAATCGGTACTCAAATAAAAAATATGTATATTAAGGTTGCTAAAAACTTCCAGTCAAAAAATTAATTAATTAATTAATTGAACTGAATTAACACGTAATTACCAGTTGTGGGTCATTGAAATCTGTTTCAATCAATGAAATAATTTTTTGGTATAACTTCTATACTTAAATTCAGTACATCTCATTAATTAATTTGACAGAATTTTATTTTTAACTGACATGTAATATTTTTATTGATGGGATGTACTGAATCTTTGGTACAGTAGTAGTACCAAAGATTTATTCCAATCAATATTATTAAAACTGATCCGGTCAATGATCCAGTTGAGGTATTGAGTCATTGAATCGTATGACCCGATAATTATATGCAATTCTATAATTTATATTAAAAAATTATAAACATACAGCAATATCTAAAAAAATGATAAAAATTTCAAATATTTTAATATAAAAAATAATAAATCACACTTTATTATCCGGTCAAACAAAAATATAATGATCGTGATACGGGATTTCAGGTTTAGTAAATGACTTTTTTAACTATAAATCAAATCAAAATTTTCTGCATAGTATATAATTAAGATAATATTAGTGTTGTAGATATATATCCTATGTAAGTCAATAAGCAAAAAATACTCAAATATGTCGATTAAGATTTTTTTTAAAAAAAAAATTGGATTTTTTTTTTACCGGGCCGGATCACCAGCTAACCGGCCGGGTCACATCGATTCTAATGCATAGTCGATCCGTTGCTTTAACCAGACCCATTATTTGACCGACTTAGCAATTCCCTAATCAACCCCGTTGGACCGATTTTATTAACAGTTTCAAACATCAAAATATTATTAACTACATATTTGGTTTTGCGAGATTATATTTGAAAACAGTTTTTTTTATATAAAATCTATTTTTATTTTTTGGCAATATATTTGGGTTGTTACATTAAAAGTTGTTGATTATTTTTCATATTTAAAAAAGTCGTTTTTTAGCATCTATAATTTCAAGGTCTTTTATTCTTTATTTATTTCATTACTTGTATACAAAAATTCTTCTTTACCTTCTGCCGAATAATATTTAAAATATTTCAAATTTATTTTGGTAATTTACTAGATACAATAAATTTTTAAAATAATATAAACAAAATCTTCAAATTTCACTTATCATTTAAACAAAAACTAATTTTATCAAAACCAATATGTTTTATCGTGTCTCTTAGCTGATGGTTCCGTGTTCGAGCATTGGGAATGAAAAAAAAGTTTTGAAAGAGCCATCCTTTATAAGGTATGACAACACTTGAACCGGACTAATCCGAAGGATAAACGTGTTAAGGAGATTCAAAAAATACATACTAAAATTTGCGGTTTACACTAATGGGAGGGTTCACTCTTGTGTATATAAGGACTCAAAACTCACAGAATATGAATGCTAGCATTTTAGTAAAGTTTTGTTTGAAAAGAGTTTATGAAGTGGATGGTGTAACAACCTTTTGTTAAAAATTGAAATTGGTGATGAAGAATGACTATTTGTTTTTGTAAGTATCCTTCATTTTTGTAACAAAAGGACGGATACTTACTTGTGATGCACTAGAAGGAAAAGAAGAAGAAACGGAAGATGAGTATAATAAACAAAAGGGAAAATTTGAAGAAAGAGAATAAATTAAAACAAAGCAAAATAGAGCACTTTAAAACAAAACAAAACGGAAAATCTGTGATTGCTGTTATAAAAAAAAAAAATAAAAAAATTGTGATTGCAATGTAGAGTGTGGGGGTGAAACTAGGCCGGGCCAGCCTACAGGGACCTACGGCTCGGCCTACATCAGGCTAAACCTGACTTAATATATTTTGTATTATAGGCCAGGCTCGGGCCTTAAAAAAACATGTTTAATAAAAAGGCCGTAGGCTCACTTTCAAAAGGCTGGGCCTCTGAGCCTACAAGCCGGCCTATATTGTACTATTTATTTTAAATAAAATAAAATAGAGTAAGTATGTCTTGAAGAAAAAAAAATATAAATTTAATCAATTGCAATTATTTATAACGTAATTATATTCAATTATATTTTAATAGAAATCTTACTTTATTTCTTATATAGGAGGAACCAACATCTCAACATGTTAGATTGTGTATATGAATATATTAAAAGATTTTTGGGAGAGGTTATACTTACTACAAGCATCATGATGTGTTTGTTGGATTCATGTAGTTATTTTAATTTACATAGTATGTATTTGTTTATCTGATGAAATATATGTTATTTAGTTTGAGCATTTTGCTTTTGAAAATGACTTAAATGCATATTGTATTAGTTTTGTTATGATTCATGATTCTGTTTGGACGTTGAAATTATGATTTTTGGTGTAGCAACAAAATTTGAGTACTTTGTAAAGTTGATTCATGGTTATGCTTGGAAGTTAATAATTAACAGGCTAACAGGTCAAGCCAGGCCATTTGTTTTTTTTATAAACGGGCCAAACTAGGCTAACAGTTAGACTCATACTAGGCTTGGGTCAGGCTAAATTGAAATTTTTTGACGTAGACTTAGGCTTTTCGGGACAAAGCTTAGCCCAACCCACTTTCACCCCTAGTAGAGTGCAAAAACCTGTTTGCACAAGAGGGTGTAGGTAGGCTCGAAATTGCACAACATACTTCAAAAGTAGTCACATTAAGGTATAGATTCTATATTTCTATTTGTTACTTGAGAAATTACTTTTGGTTGTGTTTTTTTTTTTTGTTTTTTTCTCGGTAATGCTATTTTTGTTCACTTTGATAGGAACATTCTTTACTTTCTCAAATACTACATACAAGTTATAGACATATGAGAAAAGGAAGTTGTTATTTGTTCTGTCTATGAAAGGCAGCAATAGCATGGAAATCCTATCAGAAGGTTAATGAGAAAAACCTAGCATTTTGT